AAATTATTTTATCATGATTGTATTTTATTTAAAACTGTATTATTTAATAATTTGTTTATTTAAAACTTGTTTAGATGTTATTACTATATTTGTAAATTAATAACTTTCCAAAATAAAAATATATCATACTTCAAACATTATTAATATACAGAATCTTTACTATCCATCTATTGGATAACTTAGTATTTCTTTTGGTTTTGATATGAAATTATAATATATATATATATATATATATATTTTTGAAAAAAATTCGTAATTATATTTTATAAAATTATAAATATATGGAAAAAAATTAAAACTAAAATCATAATAATTATAATTTTCTGTTAATTGATATTTTTTAATTTTAGTGTTATAAATACAATCTAATTTATTTATGTTTTAATTCCACAAGTTCTTTATTTTTATTCAAACAATCAAAATAGTTCATTTATTTTAGTAAGTTTGATATGTCACATTTATATTTCATCAATTAAAAGCACTAACTTTGGTTATAATGTTGACAAGTCAGCTATTTTCAATAATATTGCTTCTCAAATAATATATAGTGGATTTTCACCACATCCACACGTAAAATAAAAATTTGGAAATGACTATGATGTAAGCTAAACAATTTTTGAGTGATTTATAATCCATTAAACTTTAACAAGCGAGTAGCATTTTTCCATAACATTTTTTATGTGGGCATGAAATTTATTACGTAGATATCTCTGTTATCTAATATAAGAATATTAAGATATGGAGATTAGGGTTTAAGAGTTCAAGTTTGAGATATAGTTTTGTCAAAATGTCATAAATAGAGCACCAGTAAATAAATTAGAACGCTAGCTGTATGATATTTATTGTTGTGAATGGTCTTCCACACCAAGTTCCTTATGGAGATTGGAGATATTCCATTGCTTCCATGATAGTTACGTTAGAAGCGAATTCCAAAAGCGGTTAACCCCACGATCCGGATGATTAAGAGAATGTCATTAAGCAATGATTATTCAATATATTTAAAGAATTATTAGTCTACTACACTTGTAAAAAAATGGATTTATAAATGAGTTACAACGAGAAAGACAACGACGACCTTCTTTTTTGTTAATTATCTAAGAAAAATGCATAGTTAAAAAAATAATTGACTTGGAAAACACTAATTTAATAAAACGTACGGAAATGCAGAATTATGGCGACATAATGAACCTCAAAGAGAAAACGAAGTTACAAAAGTTTGACTATAAATAGATCACCACACATATGTATAATCTCACAAAAGTTAAGCTTATTGACAAGAAAAAGAAAAAGCAAAACCAAAGCAAAAGAAAAAAAGAAATGGCAAAGAACCTCAACTCCGTCACCTTCATCGTTCTTTTGCTTGTCCTCTTGACGGTTTCCACAGGTATGAATATATATTAAAGTTCTCTGTTATATTTTTCGGTTGTCTTTTGATTATCTTGCTCTGATGATGAATAATATGTCAACATGTAGGAATCCTCAAGAGCGAGGCTACGCGTGACACCGCAGGTAAATGCCTTCCACGTGGATGCAAGAGTCCAACGTTCTCGGAGGAGTGCGGGCCTGAGCCGTTCACAGGTTCAAACAACGATTGTTGTCACTGTTGCGTAAACAAATACGGGAGGAAAGCAGTCTGTAAAGGTGTTGTTGAGGGAGCACACAAGCACTGCCATTGCTACAAAGAAAGTGTTTGAAATATAATTTACCAAGTGAAATTTTTTTATTCATTCCGTGTGAGGACGTGTGTATGTCTTTGTTCAAGTTTCTTTTGTTTTCAAATAAAACATTAAGGGAAAAGCATATTATTGCTTGCCCAAAGTGTAAGCTCATGTCGTGTGTACCTTTGTTTCAGTCTGAATACATTTTTGTTTTTCTGTTTGTGCTCCTCATTCATCCCCGCCTACATATTCAAATTTCTGTCACAAGAAATGCTCTATACATATTTTCCACATCTGAAGGTTCAGATTTGGAGAGTAAGATCAATTTTTGATAGGCATGCTTCATGCTTAAATCTTGATGATTATCGTCATTACAATTAGAACTCTAGTGCCATGTTCAATTGATGTTTCAAACGGTGCTATAATATAGATAAGTATCGTAATATATAACCAGATGAGCTATCACAGACTTTCTTCTTTGTTATCTTAGTATCCATTCATTAGAAATGTTCAGTATGACTATGGGAAATTGCTTATTTAATTTCTTGATCGACAAATTTATTTTCTAACTATGGTATGTATAGATTAAATTTCCAACATATTATTGACTTCATAAATTTAGGCATGAAAAAGTCAATATTAACTAAGAAAACAGAGACATTATTGTTAACTTTATGCATTAGTCCAAATTTGCAAAGTCAACATAAACTTGAGGAATTAATTTGATAAATTAAAACTGTGAGAATTAATTGTGAGAATTAATCAGCATAATTTTGAGGAATTAAATGACCATTTTAAAAAGAATTGTCATGTAAAAAATGTTCAATTTCAAACAAAACAAATCATATATATATATAGCTTTATAAATAATTACTTTGTATAAGTATATAATTTTCTTTTAATTTACTATATAAATAAAGTAATTTTGGATGTTTTTGCATTTTTTATATGTGAAGGTGTGAAGAGACTCTCTTGCTATATTATTTCAGATTTAACAGTTTTTAATACTATGAAAAAAAAATCTAACTATTGTTATGAATAAAATTAAAAAGTTAGATATATTTAGTTTCATTGATTTTTTTTTCTACTAGCAAAATTTCCGATTATCAACCTATATTTGTTCTCCTATCATCCAACAGTCATGGCAATCACTTAAATTTGTGATCATGAAATCATTGGTATGATTACTCTATTAAAGGAAACAATTTTTTTCTTGGAAGTAAGGCTTATCTACATAACTCGTTGTCAAATTCACTTCTTTTTATGTATCATTCTGTGTATATGGTAAAAACCCAAAAAATTTTGGGACGGGTTTCACTTTTTGTCCCATACCCATCTTAATCATATTTACTATCTCGTTTATAAGAACTAGATTTTTATCCACGGCGTTGCGCGGATTTATTTATTAAATTAATTAAAATTTTATATATTTATATTACTAATATATATTATATATGTATTAAATTAATAATATTATATGTTATATTTATTTTTTATTTTTTAAAATATTTTATTGTCTTAATAAATATAGATTGTGATGCATTAATTGTTAAATAAATATTTTATATATTTATACTGCAACAAATATTATATGTGTTCTTACTGTTTATTTATATTCAATTGATTTCACATCTTTTTCTACAACTTATTTTTTATTGATTGCATATCAATTTTATATTACTACCATTGAGAAAAGATGGATGATAAGTTTTTGCCATTTTTTCCTCCTTTGTATAAATCAAATTCATTTCTATGCTATATAATTAAACACTTTATTTATGAAAAAAAATATTCATTTTACACATGAAAGTGGATATGAATGATTTTACTTTAGTTTTAAGCATTAATATTTCATAACTATTCTCAGCAAGTTCATTTGTCCTGTTTTGTAATTGTTTATTTTCTAACTCTTTTTCAATTTCTGTTTGTTTATATTGGAAATAGCATTTTTAATTTTTATTTCAAATAGAATTTATAGTTTTTTATAGTTTGTAAAATAAGTATTTGTTTTATATATGATTTTATTTTAGCTTTATATATAAATCTTTCTAAGATTTTTTTATAAAGCTTGATAATTATTTTATGTAAGCTTTTCCGTAATTTTTTGTATTTGGTTGCTTTCCAAACTCTTTTTTACAAATGAAGAATTTGTAATTTTTATGATTTACAAAATAAGTATTTATTTTTAATTTCAAATTAATCATAATAAAAGACCAAAAATAAATACCCAAAATATAAAAACTTTAAAAAACCCAAAATATTTAAAAGTCCATTCTAAAATAAAAAATATGCTGATATGGACACTTTAGATAGAGAGATAACTTGCTCATTATATATATGATTCCCAATCAAAACCATTTATTTCGTTTAAAATGGTACATAAAGTGAATGGATATGAGATTAGATATCTTGATTACCTGTTCAAAAATAATTTTTGTAAATTGTCTATATATTTTTATGAATTTTCCGAAAATTATCTGAAAAATCCTAAAATATCCTAAATTTCTCAAAATTCTCCGAAATATATGTCTTAAAGTTTAGGCTTACCCAAATTAGAATGAGTTTCGAAAAACATTTAGGTGAGGAAATTTCTCGAATCCATCCCATTTTTTATTATATTCCCTTTTAGGAACTGTTTTCTAATGCCTTCCGCGTGGTTGCAAGAGTCTTACGTTCTCCGAGTAGTGCGGACCACAGCTGTTCACAAGTTCAAACAACGATTGTTGTCACTGTTGCGTAAACAAATACGGGAGGAGTGCATTCTGTAAAGGGGTTGTAGAGGGAGCTGCCAAGCACTACCATTGCTACAAAGAAAGTGTTTAAAGTAACCTTATATAATTTACCAGCCAAGCACTACCATTGCTACAAAGAAAGTGTTTAAAGTAACCTTATATAATTTACCAAGTGTAAGTTTTTATTCATTCTTTGTGAGGACATTACATGTTTGTATGTGCAAGTTTCTTTTGCTTCCAAATAAAATATCAAGGGCAAAGCTTATATCATTGCTTGCCCTAAAGCGTGAGCTCGTGTTGTGTGCAGTTTTGTTTCATTCTAAGTACTGAATTTATTTTTCTGTTTGTGCTCCTCATTTCATCCCGCCTACATTCAAATTTTTGTCACAACAAATTATCTATTTAATACTGGCTACTTCTTCAGGTATAGACTTTGATGGTAAATCAATTTCTAAGAGGCATGTTTCATGCTCAAGAGAGTATAGATGACTATCGCTTCATTTCATTTAGAAATCTTAGTTGGTTTGGTACTCGAATGCGAAAAAACTGACTATTTAACGGGTGTGCGTACATGTGATTGGTCAGACCAGTTCATGTGATTGGTATGTATGTCGGAAACATAAACCATGTGCAGGACAAATCTAACTCTACCATCAAATCCAAGCCCATGACCTAGCACATTTTATGGCTTTTTTTTTTTAATAACTTCATAAACATTCTGGTTACAAATTACAAGAAGTTTTTTTAACTACAAAAACTATCTATTAATTTCATAAACCTTCGACTGTAATTCCTTCGGATAAGTTTATTCAAGGAACTAATTATTTAATAAAATACTATTATACTCCACCATCAACATAACACAACACCTAATTAATAAACCCCTACATGGACAATGCTTTGATTATTCATCGTCATGTAATGTCATCTTTTTATCACATTCATCATCGTTAAACACTGATTCGTGACTTGAGGCTCGAGAATCCGATCAAGAAGGATGAACTTTACTCCCAGATGCAGTCTTCCAAGCAGATCTCATCGACGCGGCGGCTGATCCCATCGCCGCCGCAATATGCCGTTTCGCGGCGATTGTTGCGGCTTTCTCCAGTAAATTCCCCGATCTCCGAGCAATCTCCGCCTTCTCCTCAAGCTCTTTCAGCTCCGCCGCCTCCATCCTCTCCATCTCCTCCAACGTCCTCCTGTATTCCTCCATTCCCCACTCCATATCCCTAAAATCACACTCACGAATTTCAGATCTGAAATAAAAATTGAAAGCCAAAGAAGGGAATTTTTTTACCGATCGAGTTCGAGTTCGGCTTCACGGAGAGATTCTTCAGCAGATTCGAGCTCCTGTTGCTGCTCGGATTCGAGAGCTGCCCAGGCCTTGTAGGAATCCACTTCGAAGAGACGCATGAGGTCTTCGATTGTGGAAGGGTCGAATGTTTTGTCGACAAGGGCTTGATCGGAGAGGAGAGTGAAGTGGTGAATTAGGGCTTCCATGTTGGGTAAAATTGAAGGAGAAGATGGATGATAGGAGAGAATGAGAATCGGATTCTTCTTCTTCTTCTAGTGGAGAATTTTTCTACAAGTGGATGACAATAATGTAAGGCAGAGAGAGAAAAGAGAGTAAAGTTTAATTTACCGTTGGAGATATTTGACTAATTTGTCAAGAGATGAAGTGATGTGATAGGCTCAAATTTTTTCTTATTGGCTGCCTGAATATAATGGGAAAATTATGGGATTCTCAAATTTTAATACCAAGCCGAAAAGATAACCTATAGTTAACGTGTGCACTTTCTTGTACTGTACGTACTACGTAGATAAAATTCTGGAATTTCTTAAAGTTTCAGATCCATTAAATTTAAATCAAAGAATCTAAAAGAAATAGAAAAATAAAAATTAAAGGACTCCCACAGTACTTGGAATACGTATTTGAGTAAAACAAGAATATATATATATATATATATATTGAAGAAATAATAATGAAAAGCATATAGCAAAAAGAAAATATAAATCAACAAATGACATTCATTTGGACAATACTACTATTGAATTATTAGTTTTATAATATAGCTTTTCGCATTTTCTGTCTAGGAAGCGTACGATAGTAAAAGTAATTAATACTGTTAGAACCATAAAATCACCATTAGGATTTGATTAACAGTTATAGGTTTCAGAGAATAAGATATTTTATTAATAGTAAGAAAGCGTAGCAATTAAAAAGAAGGGTATAACCGAGAGATTATGCCGAAGTGAAAAGAAGGTTTGCGAAGTAAACTAGAAAGCGTTGGAGTCTCGAGTTTTAGCTCTGCTGCTCTCTAGATTGTCTGAGTTGTCCTTCTAGGCTTCGGGGTCTCTGTATTTATAGGGATAGGAGGTCGGTTGCTCCGAACTCCTTTTCCTTTTGTCCTTCGTGAATATTTCCGTATATACGATATGGAAATATCTCTTATTCTCCGAAGAATATGGAAATTATCCTTTATCCTTTGGTAAATCCGATGTTCCTGGTCTTCCATAATTGTCTTTTAAGAGTTTTCCTTTAATCCGAGCTAGGCCGGCGTGGTCTTCCTGGTCTTGATGGGCTTAGGTTATTGCGGGGAAGACCTTTTTAGGAAATGTGCTAATTTCCCCTCTAACAATAAGTCCCCCTCCCCCCCCGTTCGGCGAGACTGATTGTAAATTAGGTCGGCGGACTTCATGAAATTATAGATGGGTTTGACCTCGCAATAACTGTTAGTTCGTCAAGAGCGTTGTTTTTGCGATAGCCAGTTTGGCTAGATTTTAAGCGGATTTGCCACGTGGAGCTTCAAAAGTTTATTAAATATTCCGACCCAGTATGGTTTCTGCTTTTGAGCGCAAAATGTGAAGGGTTGGCGAGATCGTAGAAATCTTGACACGCGTCCTTTTAGGAAACTGTTGATATTTCTTCAGATTTTTATTTACTTTACCTTTACCTCTTCATCTTCTTGCATTAGAAAAAACATTCATCTTCCTTGTTTTCTTCAAAGAAAATTTCTTGCCGATTTCTGCCCTGATTGTTCTAAGATTTATTTCCTGATACCGATATGGGTTTAAAGAGAAGAAGCAAAATTCCCTTGTTGGATGTGGATATCCCTGATTTCTCTCCGCGTAAGCAGCCCAGATTGGAAGGTTCACCGCAAGATCCTGTGAAGGAGGGGTCACCTTCGGGAATCCCGGCAGAGGATTTGGGTACAGAGTTGCCGATTGAAGAAGAAGGTTTTTTTGCGCCGACCGAAGAGCATGCTTTTAGCCCGTCGGAAAAAGGCATTTTGCCGGAAGGATCGGTGGCAACTGGTGATGAACCCAGCTTCAATCCTCATGAATTCCTACTTCGTTGGGGCAGGAATTCTCTGGCAATGTTCGATGAATACTTCACAGCGAATTTGGCTTGGTTGTGTAGGCCGAAGCCTAACCAAGGAATGTCCGTGGAGAAATTGAAACGATTTGCCTGTTTTTTCTGGAATGGCGCAACGTTTCATGCAGGGTTTAGGTTTATGCGCGTCTTTGGTTGAATCGTATGATAAAGAGTCCGTTCGGGAGGAGAATAGGTCCGAGGAGTTATCAGAAAAAGATCGAGAGCTTCGTGACGCTTTGGCGAAGATTAAGGATCTTGAGCGCAAGAAGCTCAAGTTAGAGCTCGATTATAAGGCGCTTGATATTTAATCTGCCAAGAAGATAAGACTTCTTCAGGAGAGTCTCAAGAAGAAGGCGGCTGAGGAAGTTAAGAGCGCGGCTGCAAAGGAAAAAGAGTTCTGAGATCACCAGCGTGTCTCGGTTGATCGCGTGGTGGATTTAATATATCGGCGTCTTCGCAAATGGTATGATCCTCGCATCGAGCATATCAAGGAATTTATGGCGCAAGAGCCTGATATTCATCGGCTGGAACTTTGGATTGTCGATGCCGAGGCGAGGGCGAATTGCTATAAGCAGCTTAGGTCGGCAAGGCATGAGATTCCGGTTGAAGAGTTCTTGACTCATTCTGCTGCGGCCGATCGTTTGAAGATGGAGCGTCACAACATAAAAGATGCTCCAATTTCTTCATATGGTTTCACCGCGCCTTCTAGTGTTCAAATGTGGCCTTCGGATGCAGAATTAGTGGCAGCAGGGATTCGGCTGCCGAAACGACGTAGGGCTTTATAATTGGTTTTGTTTGTTGTTTTTTGTAAGACCAAAATGTTTCTTTTTTATTAATGGATAAAAGTTTACCTATTTTGTTTCGTACTCCTTTTTTTGTGATGATTCAGACCTTAATTCTAAGGTTTTCACGAAGTCAGAAATTTCTTTTGCCTTGCGGTGCGTGGACATTCTTTAGGCCAGTGCTGGAAGCGAGATTCATTAGCTCGTCTTACACCAAACGACATTCAGGATCGAATACCAAATTTTTTGAAATGTACTTTGGTTCGAAAGGTATGATCGAGAGTCGTGTGAGTATTGTCCTCGGCTTTCATCTTATCTACTTCGGAAGTAATTAAAGCAAACCGAAGTGTCAAAGGAGTGGTGATCAGCCACTAATTTAATTTTGCTTGCTTTTGTTGAATCGATTGTTTGGCCAGAACATCGATTCGGCAAGATACATTGGCATATAGCTCTTTTGCCGTGCTGAGAAAGTTTTATGAAAGTAATTTTATTAAGATAATGACTGAACCCGAAGGCTGCCTACGTACCCGAAGTGGGATCAAGTCATCTGTAGTTCCTAGTAGTACATTCCTTGCCGAGTTTATGGCTTTCAGGTATAATATTTTCTTAAGTTCATGGAGTTGCGAGCTCGTTCGACTGGCCTTCCCTTCATATCTTCCAGCTTATAGATGCCAGGTTTGACGATTTCTGTGATTCGATATGGTCCCTCCCAATTCGGTTCGAGTTTTAATGGATTTATGGTCCTCTGGAAGACGAGGTCATGAAGTGAGAATAGTCGGCTTCAGACGTTCTTGTTGTAATACCTAGAGACTTGTTGCTGGTAATTCTGAATTCGTAATAAGGCTTTGTCGCGAAGTTCTTCCATGTTGTCCGCTGTGTCGATTAGTTTTTCTTCACTTAATTGAGGATCTTGAATCATCAAGGCTCGCCGGGCACTAGGTACATGCAATTCAGCCGGTGCCAAAGCTTCGCAGCCGTGAGATAGTGAGAATGGAGTTTCTCCGGTGGCATTTCGTGGAGTTGTTCAATGAGACCAGAGAACTCCATCCAACTCATCCGCCCATCGTCCTTCTAGCTCATTTAGCCGTTTTTTGAGACCGTCGAGGATTATTTTATTAGAAGCTTCTGCCTGCCTGTTGCCCTGCGGGTAACATGGTGTCGAATAGCTTATGTGTATTCCCCATTTTTCGCAGAAACTTTAGAAAACAAACGAGGTGAATGGAGTGCCATTATCCGTGACGATCTCGTATGGGAGACCATGTCGGTATATGACATACTCCCAGATAAAAAGCTGTACGTCGATTCCTTTGAGGGTGGGGTAGGCTTTAGCCTCGACCCATTTTGTAAAATAGTCACTTACCATCAGGATATATACTGATTGCGACCTGACTTGGGCATCGGGCCAATTGCATCCATTTCCCACCTCATGAAAGGATATGGTGGAATGGCAGTCTGAAGTAATTCGGGAGGCGCATTAATGGCTGGGGCGTATTTCTGGCATGGTTCACACCGGAGTGTGAACTTTTCGCAATCTTGAATCATTCTGGGCCAGAATAAGCCGTGCTTCTTGATTTTTAGTGCTAAAGCTCTCCCCCCTGAGTGATTCCCGCATGCTCCGTCATGAGTTTCTATCATGACTCTTTTGACTTGTGCTTCGTCGCAGCATCGTAATATTACTTTGTTTGCTGTCCATCGGAATAAGTTTCCTTCTTCTATAAAATATTGCGCTGCTTTCTTCCGGAAGCGTCTAGCTGCCCACCTGTCTTCCAGAACGATCCCTTCTAACAGGTAGGCCTTGATTTCGTCTTTCCAAGGCTTCTCTTGCTGTCCGATATCTTCCTCCATCGGATCGTTTGCCTCGTCATCCTGATGTAATACTGCGTTGCAGGATCCTTTTGATAGTTGAATACTAGGTTGTTCGATAATTTCTACTGGGATTATTCGTCTTAAGGCAGGATCTGTTGTGGATGCCAATCCTGCCAACGCGTCGGCGGCGGTGTTTTCTGCTCGCGGAATTTTGGTTATTTTGAAGGAATCAAACTGCTTTGCTATTACCTGGACTTGTTTAAGATATGCATCCATCCGTTCATTTTTTGCATCATAATCTCCCCTAAATTGGCTGACGACGAGCTGGGAATCGCAGAAGGCGTGAACATGTTTTGCTTTTACCTCTTAGGCGAGCCAAAGTCCAGCCAGCAGGGCTTCGTATTCAGCTTCGTTTGAAGTGGGGAAACTGAGTTTGAAGGATTGCTCAAGAATTTCTCCGGTTGGTGATTTCAGACAGATACCGATTCCTGATCCTTGTTTCGAAGATGCTCCGTCTACATAAAGATTCCATTGGTTTTCTGTAGGCAGCTCCGCATCTAGTAGATCCGGTGGTAACTCGATCACGAAATCTGCCAAAACTTAAGATTTGGCGCTGGTTCGAGCGCGGTACTCGATATCGTACTCCGACAGTTCTATCGCCCATTTAGCCATTCGGCCTGATTGGCTTGGGCTGTGCAGGATGCTTCGAAGTGGTTGGCTGGTGTAGACGACGATGAAGTGGGATTGGAAGTAGGGTCGTAGTTTCCGTGCCGAGATGATGACTG